TTATTTTAGTCGTCTCAACAAGTTTTTGATATGCTCAGAAGGCTTTGACGATCTGTTAAGGTCTTATGATGTTGCTCCATCTAACGGCAAAAAAATAAAACATTCTCTCCACCGTGTCCTCGCTTTTCTAAGAGGAAAAACTACCACAAACTATACGTATTCTGCAGGACTTCACACAACAGGTTCTCCATAATTGCTCATTAAGTTTGCCAATTCCCGTCACTTTCCAGTTCTCCGCACAATTTCTCTTTGTAATTCAAGCAATTTGCAGTGCCGTTCAATCAACCAGTTCATTATGAACAGTCAACAGTGAATGGTTAACGGTCCACAGTCTCAAAGCTTCAAACTTCAATCACTTAATTATGTACTTTGGGGTAATGGATACGAGTCAGCACACACACACACACACACACACATAAATGCTCGCTGAGCGAAATAATTCGCAGTAGTTGTTGCCGCGTTGGACTGTACGCTTTGCCATCAACTTGTTTTGATAAATGGTTGTCAAAATTTATTTATTTTTTCCACTTGCAACTGTGGCAGCAATTGGTGACTATGCAGCACGCTCGTGCCCGAATGGCGACGACTACTGCCTGATTAGTTGTTGCAGACTTTGGTGAATGTCATCCTCGGCGCATATATTTCTGCCTTCGATTTCGCCGTCGCGTCACGCATATTTGCACAGCAAATGATGCTGAAAACACTGTGGTGGACAAGCCACAAACATTTGTTGTTGTTGCGCACATATTTTCATACTTTTACTTATAACTAGTATATAAATGTATTTATAAAAAGCGTAAGCGCTGCAAAAAATATTGACACAATCTATAAAATTAAGTGCCGTCTGTTCAACGTTACGCCCACTCCTCGCTCTTCCTCGCTGGTCCAAGAATTTGCGAATATTTTCTGTTCATGTTTTCCTTACTGTTGTTGTTGTTTTTCTTTGTTGTCGTCGTTGTTTTCTTCACTGTAATTTCTCCATCATCAATATTAACCGCTTTCGGCGCAGCCGATCGACAAGAAAGTATTGCAAAAATCAACAACAACAACACGATTGAATACTGTTGCTGAAAGCGCCTTGGTTGTCACATACTAAGTGCTCATATATAATATGTATGTATGCCTGTACGTCATGAGCATATACATAATTCGTACTGTGACAAACTCCAGCAGCAGGCGCTGTTGTCGTCTCCGTCCACCGAAGATGATTGATAGCTGCCTATGCCATTATGCTGCCAAATTAGGGAGATTGGATATTTCATTATGATAACAATGGCAACATGACACGCACAGGCAAATAAGCACAGCCGCGCGTAGGGCATAGAGAGAGCGGCGAGGTACCGAAGGAAAGCGCACGAATTGCTGAAATTTCGCAGGGCACCATTGATTGTTTACGAAAGTCGCTTTGAATATAGCTAAAAATTAATAATGAAAATTTTGCTAATGAAGAGTTCTTAAGCCAAAATTAATGATCTTATTTTCATTTGTAACCAATTTTACAGTTTTTACTTTGCATTAACTCTACGTTTGTTCATCTGCGTCTCTCCTACTCTCCAGCATGACGCCGGTGAATTGTCCGCGCTTATTTGCCTAACCGGGTCTTCTACGGCGGTGCGTTATCATCACATAGATTCAAAAAATGTGTGTTCAGCGTTGTCTTCTGTCGCGTCGTTGCATAGGCATAACGGCTCTTCGTCATTTCCCATTCTGTAAAGGTACTTTTTGTAGTATACGTGACTGGCTAACAGCTGGGTTGTGTAAAAGCCGACTTCTCTGGCCGTCTATATGCTCGTTCTCCCATCTTCGTTACCATGTTGTTATAGTTGTCTTCCATTATTTCTTCTATTGCGGTCTTCTTATTTTACGATGTTTTCTTCAGCTTCCACAGATTTTTCCTTTCAGATCTCAGCTGAGTATAAAAGGGCGCTGAGCGTCGTCAACATTAGGTGCTTTCTCTTTACATGCCCGCTTTCTCTGCTAAGTTACGAGGTGATTTTCGCTGCCTTTCCTATGGCGTGCTGGATTTGTGCCTGCCTGTTTAGTTCGGGATCTAGTCTTATGCCTATTTAGATTACAGTTTTAGTGTCCTAAAAATATTAAGCTCTCTTCGTGCTTCTTTTGTGTCTCGTACTGTAATTACTGCTGCAATATCGTCCGCGTAGCCAATTAAGTACTATTCGTCTGGCATTTCGAGTTTTGGTATAGCGTTGTAGGTGATGTTCCACAAGTCCGAGTCTCAAATGGATCCTACTGCTGCTCCTGCCGCGACCGCTATCTATTGTGATCCCTCTCTAGTTTCATACAGTAAGTAAGCTCTGAGGTAGTCGTAGATTTTAAAGCTTTCTTCAAGATCTTCGATCATGTTCATTCATCTAGTGCTGTTGAAGGCGTTTCGGACAATTAATATATTCTTTATGCCATCTTTGCTGTGTGAATATTCCTGCTTCGAGGCAGGCGTTTTACATATTCAACAGTTCCGCCGGTTGCTCGGGTTTCTGCTGTGATTCCGTGGAGGCCGTGTATTATACCTGTGGTGTCGCCGAAATTAACGTTTTTTCTTCTTTAATTATTTAAAATACTTTGTTTTGTTTTATTTTCACTTTAATTGAACATAATATAATAATATTTTATTGTTGTTTTTTTTTTATTTGCTATAATTAGTTTAACTTTTTTATTTGATTGTATTTTTTATTTACCCAATCTTACTTTTACTTTCTTTGCAATCTTATTTCATTTCACTTACCTAAAGCCAAGTCGCGTACTCTTCCCTGCCCTAAGGTATGCAACGCTTTAAATTATCATCATTATCCTCGTAGTAATTTCGCTTCTCTTTCCGCAAGAGATGTTCTCCCTCTACACTGACAGCTTCAGGCTCGTCATTTCCACATTTTATATGTTTGTTGTAAAATATGACATCAATTTACATTTTTTCGGCGAAACTTTGCGACGTCGAGCAGCAGCACGAAGGAATTTGTAGAAAAAAGTGTCTCAAGATAAGGGAGCCAAGTTGGTTGATGTATGATTTGGTGGAAACACGGCATGCAAGTATTCAACGCCTGCAGACGCAACAGTAAATTTATCAGCAATTTGTTTTGGGAATTTAGATTTATATGCGTAACAGCCGCAACGTCACTACAGACAGATAAGCCTTGATTAATCTGTTTCGCTTTCATTTAAGCGCTAGCAGGTTGACTTTTTCCGCGTAGACGCATAAGCGCTATTTACAGTCAAGTATTTGTTAAGAAATTTTCAACGCGTGACTTCATATATGCGCATACAAAGCGGCTGTTTGAGGTTATGTCCAACTTAGTTCAACTTAAGTCTGATGCCTTCACACGCATATAATAATAGAAGTGTGGAAAATGTAATTGTAGAAGGCTTTATTTTCCAAACCACATTTGAAAAACATGTTTTTATTATTATAATAAAAGTTCAAAATAATGAGCTCAGCCTTCTACCGGACACATGTAACATGTGAGATTGGGTCTAACTTTGTTCAAGGTAAGTATGTTTTCGACTCCCAAATATACCAAAAAGGAATTTTGGATGCTTTATAGAGATAGTTTTTGAATAAAGCTTTTCGAGAACTTCTCTAAAACGTTTCATTTATACATATGTTTTTTATAATAAAAATAACTTTTAAAAAAAAAAAAAATAAATAATAATAATAATAAGACCAAGCTCTTGCTGAATACCATAAATATGGTAAGTTTGAAAAAATGGTAGCTATGGACGTAGACAAAGTGGTTAAACGTATCTATCAGAGACTGACAGTAATACCGCTGATAACGAGATGCCGGTTTAATGCTCTTTCCTTTTAAAATTCCAACAAGAACTTGATACTGACACTGAAACGAACCGGAATGTTGAGACACAAAGTCAACAGAAATAAAGCCACTCCTTGGAACACGTCAACGGCGACATCTGACGAAATCGATTATATTGATTTGCAATTAAAACCTCCACAAATAAAGCTATGGTTCCCCACTAATGAAAATAAGATAAAAAAATCATCTTCACAAATGATTAGATCACTTTAAAAATATAAACGAATATGCTCTAGCCTGGGCGACGAATACTTTCAGAGCTGGACTCTTTTCGTCCATACGTACGACTTGACCTAACCGGCGCAGCCGCTGTATCTTAATTCGCTGAACTATGTTAATGTTGTCGTATATCTCATTGCTCCATCGACTGCGGTATTCACTTTGAAAATGCGCAGAGACCATAAATCTTCCGCAGAACATTTCTATCGAAAACTCGTAACGCCGACTCATCAGATACTGTCATCGTCCATGCCTTTGCACCATATAGTAGGACGGTAGTGATGAGTAACTTCTATAGTTTGCTCTTTTTTTGTCGAGAGAGGACTTTATTTCTCAACTGTCTACTCAGTCCGAAGCCTGTATTGTTGCCAAGAGTTATTCTGTGTTGTTTTTCGTACTTGCTGTTAATGCTGCGTCCATGATATGCGAAATTATCTGCGGCTTCGCAGTCTGTCTGACATGTTTGTTTGATGAGAGGAGATATTTCGTCTTGTCCTTGTTCATTACCATGTCATTTACATCGCTTCTTTGTCCAATGGTTAGACCGCAGAACTAACGGCGCTGCTGTTACGGCCAACGACATTGATGTCATCGGCGTACGCCAGCTGTACAATCTTGCAGAATTGTACCTTCTCTATTCAGCTCTGCAGCTTGAATTATTCTATTCCAGCAGTGGATTGAATAAGTCGCCCATAAAGAGTCCCCTAGTTTGAAACGTCATTTGGAATCAAACGGCTCATAGAGGTTCTTCCCGATCCTTTCTTATAATTTGGTATTTTTAGTATTAGTTTTGCGTGGATATCAAATTCAGATATCGCGGCATAAATTCGGATCCTTTTTGCGCTGTGAAATGCAGCTTTAAAATCAAAGAATTAAGTTATTTAAAAATTTAATTTATTAAACCCATGGATATGTAAATAAATACTCTTCAGAACTTATAACCCTTTTTTTTTTTAAACTGTAACTGTTGGTTACCGTACAGATATTTCCAAACATATTTAGAAAAAAATCCTTCAGACGGAAAATTAAATAAGAAAATATGTTTCCAACCAGCATCAAAAGGTAACTGCATATTGAGAAATATTTTGGGAAAATTAGATCTGAGATAGTAGCTAATAAACTGGAACGCAGACCAAACAATTATTTTAGTTCCAGCACTTAATCTGTGATGATGTGTTCCTAGATAAGGTCAAGTTTAGGTACTTTGTACTATTTTGCTTTGGCCAGCCTAATTTTTATCCGCTAAAGAGGACGCGGGAGCAGCTCCTACGTTTGTCACGAAGTTTTTAGCCTGTCGGAGACCCAATAAAACATATATGTAAATAAATCATGCGAATAACAAGCTGTGTTCTTTTAGTTATATTCGTCTGTTTATCCGTCTTATCTGCCTTAATGTAAAAATTCGACCTATTCCTTCAGTTTTTGAGAAATCGATCTGAAAATTTGCACACCTTTTTTTCTCCCTAAGAAGCTGCTCTACGTCAAAACCGAAGTCGTTGCCTGGGATTCTTTTTTATGTGACGATGTATTTTCTCGAAATTTGGCACTGATTATTACCAATACTACTCGAAGGAATTGTTGAAATCGACCTAATAAAATCAATTTCTTGTATAAACATTTTTTTATATATGGAGGGTATTCTGGCTTCGGTGCAGCCGATGTAAAAGTTTAGTTTGTTTTAATTTATTTTTCACATTCTTTTGGAATATTCCAGACTATGAAAAGGCGTACAGACCTGCTAACAGCCCAACTTGTTTGGTCATTAAGATTTTCTTTAACTACAGTGTGAAGAAGTGTAAACTAAAACAGACATGTATGTTTTTGTTATTGCAGGATAATTTTTTGTACTTGCCTTTGTTCGGTTTTTCTGTTTCTGTTTATGTTTTATATTTAAGTTTTCAGGAGATGAGAGAAACGCTAAAATCACTGTTTCTTCACTTTGTTTCATTCTCTAGCCGTTCCATTGTCCGATCTCATGGCCAGGGTTCCGCCATGGTTAATTACAACCAAAACTGATAATGAAAAGAAAACTTTTGAATTACAGATTTTGTTAAAAAGTTGTAATAGGATTTCGAAATATAGTCTCTTCCGTTTTAAAGAAGAGCTGAAATATTTGTTAGGTAATGTTAAGTTCACTTTAAGCCTCAAAGGAACTAATTTCCAGTATATTTTCACTAATTGTGATAGCACGGCAACTCTAATTGCATTAAAAACATATGTTTTTCACAGCGTTTGCTTAAAGTTTTATTCTGTTCATTTCATCCAGTATATATTTATAAAATGTGGTGTTGCCTCAACAGCAAATTCAGAATGGATCTCGCAGTACTTCTTTCTTGTAAATGTTTTTGGTCAAAGAGTGATATCTCCCAGATTGGTTGAAAATGTTTTCAATTTTGAGATGCTGAATTCAATATTCACCAGTTTTTTATTCTTTTTCGGTCCTTAGTATTTTTTTTTTCATAGTTTCTAAGCGAAAAAGCTACCATAAAATTAAATGTGTAAAAAAATGGTAAATTTTCCGGCTCATCATCATAACATTCTCAACCATTGACCCTGAATCATCCGCACTTTAAACACGCTGCAATTATGAACACCGCGACCAGTACGAATAATACTGAATTAGAAAACAAATTCATTGAATCAACAGAAATAGCACTTGATTTGACTTTAGCTTTTTTGGATGAGGCACCAGCGAGAGCACCCATTGAAAAAGAACTGCCAACAAAAAGCCAAAGAGATTGCCAAACCGAATTCAATTTGATGGCAAAAAAATTTCCCGACGATAATATAATAGTTCATGAAGAAGCACAGTCAAGTTTAGTAAAACCATCCATGGTGCAGATACCACAGTATTCGCTACGAGACTCTGCATTAGGCGAAAATAACAGCATTGATGAGATTATGCGATCTATGGCTCTTGAACCGATCTTCGAAGATGTCTCAGCAGTTATACACGGGGAGCCAATTGACGAATTGGGCATATTGAATACCTCAAATTTAAAAGAAAAGGTCCACACCTCGTTAGTACAGAAAGCACTTAATAAGGTGCAGGAACGGAATAAGGAAAACCAACTTTCCAATATTGTGAATGTGAATGAAGTTTTCTCTACAAATGACGGGTTGTCTGATTTTGCACTAGGACCGAATGGAAAAATTAGGTGGAAGGGCATATTAAGTGCCACGCGATCACTTTTGGATGTAATGTTCGATCGCGAAACACTTGCCACACATACTCTGAGTGCTCATTCGTTAGGAAGTTTGCAGGATCGCATTTGTCCTCTTAAAGGTCAATTCCTTAAAGTTAAAGTTAAAGATTTAATATACATTTTGAAACAGAAATTTGATTGTTCCGAAGGTAGAATCCGTAAAATAATAAGTCAAAATTGTGGGGTTATGAATTATTTATTGAGTAAATTGTTTTAGCACCCCAATTGTATATATGTTATGTTACGCGTGAATGTTATTTGTAGTTCCGAAAATTTAAAAATATATGTGACTCGTATAAATATTTGAAAAGCTTTTCTTTCTTACTATCTTATTCCTTATGCAGGAGTATTACCATTTCTGCATTCAAAGTTATACTCTCTCTTATATTAAGCCAATAGATCTTACTATATACCTTATCAATCTCTAAAAACCGAAATAATTACTAAACTTATTTCTTGCATCACCGCTACTTCAAGTGTTGGTTCGAAAATTTACAAAGACATCTGGTTTTCGAAAAGAAGTAATATTTAAAGTTATGACCAAGAATTTAACTTTATTATAACGATAAGTGTTTGCCTTCATGTTTTCAAATTAGCGATTATTGGTCACCTTTTACAGCGATCGGGCCGTATATCAGAAACATTTCGTCGAATATTCTCTTCCAAAGAGCACAGCGCCTCGTCCTTATCATCTTAGACAATCGACTTCACATAATCCCACAAAAAATAGGTGAGCGATGTTAATGGCACACTTTTGGAGACCACGTCACAGGCCCACGACATGGGATAAAGCGTCAACGAAAAMTTTATTTCAATAACAATTTTCGTTGCTGAAGTCACTGCTGTGATCAGATCAACAGCTCGAATATTTTCTCCAGCAACAGATTGAAAAAGTCGCACGATAGGGAGTCACCTTGTCTGAAAGCTCGTTTTGTATCGAACGGCTCGGAGAGGTCCTTCCCGATCCAGACGCAGCATTTGGTATTGCTTAACGCCAGTTTACACAACCGTATTAGTTTTGCGGGGATGTCAAAATCAGATATCGCGGTATAAAGGCAGCTCCTTATCAAGCTGTTAAAAGCAGCTTTGAAATCGACGAAGAGGTGGTGTGTGCCGATTCTCTTTTCACAGGTCTTTTCCAAGATTTGACGCATAGTAAATATCTGGTCAGTTATTGATTTGCCAGGTCTAAAGCCACACTGATAAGGTGCAATCAGTTTGTTGGCGGTGGGCTTTAATCTTTCACACAATACGCTCGAAAAAACCTTATACGCGATGATTAGGAGACTTATCCCACGGTAGTTGGCGCAGATTGTGGGTGAATTTGGCAGAGCCCACTTAAATTAAAATTGCCGGTCATGCTTTCGTCCGACCATATTCTATAAAGAATTGTTGCATGTTCTTCGCCGCCGTGTTTAAACAGCTCGGCTGGCAATCCATCGGCCCCGCCGCTTTGTTGTTCTTCTTGCGGGTAATTGCTAACTTCTTCATGGTCGGATAATGGAATGTCTGTTTCATTGTCATCGATTGGAGAATCAGCTTCACTATCTCCTGGTGTTATGCTCTCTCCATAATTTTAGTATGCTCTGGGCATTGGTTACTAGATCACTTCTGGCGGTACTATAAGGATAGGGCAGTCTTGAAAGCCGCATCTTTTCGTAAAATTTTCGAGCACAACCCTATCAGCCAGCTTGTCAAGTTCGTACTTACGTATTTCGGCCTCTCTCTTTTTCTGTCTGCAAATGCGTGTCGCTTCCCTCTTCTACTCTCGGTATCTATCTCATCCCGCACAAATAATGGTTTAGTTGGGAACGGAAGGGTTTGCCAATATGCATGGCCTTCTGAATCGATCGGTTTTCTTGCACCTGAGAGTGGCAATGGGTGTGGTTTTTTTTTGTGGAAGAGCCTTGGAGGTCTTTGGGTCGACATTTTTTGAGCCTGTACGCTCTTCACCGCTGGAACTTTTTGTCTCAATTAGTTGAGAATGGTTTGGTGGTCGAAATATTCCAGGACGCCTCTGAGGACGACAATCAGATCCTTTTCCTGGTGGAGCTGGTTGGTCTTATATCGTATGTAGTATGTTTCCGTCCATGGTTTCGGTGTGAACCAAAATTGCTTCTGAAATGACTTTGGCGGACCGCATACGTACATCTGCTTCACCCAGACCGGAGCTAAGTTTTTCCACGATTCCTTCCTTAAGATTCGTTTTGGTGCAGAACTTCTTTCCTTAGGGGGGGCGAGATCCTCGATTTCTCAATATTCGAGCATTGGTAGTAGTCGTCTCTAGGAGAGTTTCTGAGCGACTAAACCCTAACGAACAGCATATTGTATAAACTTCTAAATACTCAAATACACTGCTTCTTTCTTGGAGTTCGAAAATTATCCCTAAGATTTGTTTCTTTCTACATTTTAGCGAAATTTCAAGTCCGAGAGTTTGTAATTTTTGTGTTCAATTTTTTTCCAAGTAATATCAAATAGTTATAAATATGACAAATTTTGTTCGCTCACCATCATAACATTCCCAACTATCGTCCCTGAAACATCAAAATTAAAAAATACTCTGCAATTATGGACTTCGCGATTTGCAATTTTAAAATAAAAAGCGAGAAAATTGAATCAATGGAAATAACACCTGATTTGCCGCACGAAGCGGAATCAGCAGAAAGCGATGACCGAAGCGAGTCAGAATCAAAACGTCAGCAACAATCTGATAGCAAGAGTCCATCCATTGCAGACTTGCAATTAAAACGGCGAAAAGAATTGTCAAAATCAAAAAGTCATCAACAATCTTATGAGGAGGGTTCATCCGTAGCAGATATGCAACTAAAACGCCGAAGAGAATTCGAAATCAAATACAAGTTGTATGTAAAAAAGTCAAAAAGAGACGAATACTTAGCAGTAGCCGAAGAAAAGAGTTTGCAAGATGAAGTTACAGCCGCGTTGGTACAGATACCACAATACTTAAAGGGTATACCAGAATCAAGAAGTCGTGACTTGCTTGATGTGCTTTTACCATCTCAAAGTATTAAAAACGAACGAGAGGATGAGCAAAACACAATAAGTTCTTCAATCAAAAAGAAACTGAACTTCAACGACCTCGCATTATTGCTACCCAAGCGAATGGGTATCGACGATGTTGTTTGTGATCTTAGCAGAACATCAGGTATTAAAGCGGAGCCTATCGACTATTTGGACTCACCAAATACGGTAAATTCAGTGGAGTCGCTTCTACATAAATCAATCTCTCCGCTACTTCAGCGAACGCTTGATACAGTTTATGCCAACCAATCCAGTGATGGTTTGAGAATAGGACCTCATGGAACATGGCTATCAACAGAAGATTTGAAAAAAATTAACTGGACTGGAGTATCAGCTGCAACGCGGTCGCTTCTGTCAGTACTTTTCGATCGCCAAACTCTTGCCAGATCCACAATATGTGGTAATCTCTCGCCTGCTTTTCCGGACCGTCCTGTTAAGAAACAATTAGACCCTCGCAAAATACAGGATGTAATATATTTTATGAAATGCACATTTCATTCTGAAGAACGTGATATTCGCAGTGCAATAACTATGAAATGCGCGGATATTAGAAAAGCTAACCGAAAATATAGTTTACCCAAGCCAAAGTTTATTTTGTTTTAGTAGCTTAAACAATTCTATGTCGGCATGTTGTGTTATATGTGAGTATAATTTTAGTTGTAGTTATTCAATTAGGGTTGAGAGTTTAAGATGTCAAAGGAATATGTATTAAAAGTTCATAATAATTGGTATTGAGCTAAACTCAAACCGTTAAAAGTGGGGTTTAAAAAAAAAAAATAATAATAGTAAAGTAGTTTGTCTAATGTTTAATATGTGCTTTGGTTACGTTTTATGTACTGATTACTATTTTAATTAGAATAAAAAATAAAAAAAATATTTGCAACTCTTTTTTTTCAAAGCATATTTTTAGGCGAATTTGAATCCAGTCAAGGCTCAAGTCAAACCTCATCTAAGTGTTATTATATACGAATTTCATTTCCCCTCAACATGTTGCTAGAAAGCTTTATTCACCTAAATATTGTGGCTGCCATCTGAAACTAATCGAATATGATATAGGGTTATATTGTTATATGTTCGTCCGTATTTCCGTCCGTCCGTGCAAGCGCTAAATTGAGTAAAAATTCAGATATCTTAATGACGTTTAGTTTAGGCGTTCATAGTGTATCTCTGTGCCCAAAATGCTGTCTCTTATACACATCTAGATGTGTATAAGAGACAGTATTTCCGTCCGTCCGTGCAAGCGCTAAATTGAGTAAAAATTCAGATATCTTAATGACGTTTAGTTTAGGCGTTCATAGTGTATCTCTGTGCCCAAAATGAATAAAATTGGCTGAAAACTTGACTCAGCGCCATATCATTCATATCAGGATTTCGAATAAGGATGAGGAACCTTAATGAAAGTCTGGTGACATTTTATTAGTACGTGGTAAGTTAAAAATAACGAGTGGTCCCAGTATAGGTACTTTCTTTTTATTGAAATTGAAAGCATACTAAATACAGGTTGTGCAACCCGCTTGACCTTCCCAAGCGACCACTCTTCGCCTTATGGGCTCTTGAAAAGTTCCAAGAAGAGGCGACTTTTTCTATCCAAATTTTGTTCAACAATCGATTTTAGCGATACGTTTCAAATTTTGCTTGCTTGCCGCTAGTTTCAACCAGACGCAACTTAATTGAGGGAACAGCGAGATCGCACGATCTTATTGGCCACGCCATAAACCCACGACTACGACTACAAAAGTAAGTACTTACCGTACTTATCCTACAATAGATTATTTACGGCGGTACGTAGCGCCGTCCTGTTAGAACTGCCAATTCTTAGTACAATTTCCAAGACAGTCGTCAACTAATATTGTAATATTGGCATCAGATGGAAATACCCATCAGAAGAGTTGTTCTACTTCCTAATCTGTGCTGGCATTGAGTCCAACTCGGATCCGAAGGAATTTTTCTGATGCGTTTGGCCAAAAATGCTCCACCATAATTCCATTTCCATTTTGATTAGATGGCTTTAAGGTTCATAGGAAGTACTGCATGCAGCCAACGCACTAATGAGACGGCAGCCTCAACTGCTGTGCAAAATGCACACAGCTCGAGCTCAGCTAGGCAGCAAGACTCCCAGTCTGATCAATCCCCTACCCCCACAACCTTCATCCCGGTTCAATCTTCGTACGAGGGTCACAAGGCAATTCTTAGTTCTCCGCACCGTCTATGCCGTGTGTCAGATCGTAATGTATCGGAACATGACATCAGCCAAATGCAGTTCTTGTTCTGGCTGGTTTCGTTTCCCGTCGTATTCCCACCTGAGCACCACACGTAATACCGCCATAAACCTGATTACTGCATTTTAATTGCAACATACCAACGAACAAGATCGAACAAATATAATAGTTAAATTTATGAACCAGCAAGGCATATCGATAGATGCTGTCCAAGAAACCAAGCATCAACCGCAAAGATATTACCCTAGATTGTCAGGATTTAGCTATCAGGTTAAGCGGCGTTGAGCCCAAAAAGCACCTCGACATCATTTCTTCTATTTCATAGCTCGCCTTCATCAAACTAGCTATTGATAGTCCGATAAACGGCATAACCTGGCGACTTATGCTAACTCTCGCATTAGACCATTTGCCCATAATAATCGTGATCAGAAAACACCATGACTTTATTTCCATGAACAACTGTAGCTACGTTGACTTTAATAAAGTTAACTGGGTCGGCTTCACGG